AAGGGTGAGGCCGAGTCGAATTCAATAGTCAGCTGGCCTATATAGTGACCGTCTTCTCCTCTATGTTTCTCATAGGTCCTCAATGATCTATATCATCTGTTTCGATTTGAGAACTGCAAGGACATACACACAGCTCTGGATGTCGTGCTCTGTGCTATGGATAGGCATCTGAAATTCAAGCACATGCAAATATCGGGCAGGTATGCAAAATACACTTTTTGTGTGATTTTATTATGACTTGGTTTTAGTTATTGAGTACAACTCAATGTTGAATTTAATCTGAATCTCTTGTTTATAGCGCCACACTCTTCTACATAGTCAAAGGACGCGATCGTTCAAAGTTTGGCACGCTGCTGCGCAATCATATTATAAGGACGCTTCTCAACGGCATGGAGATGCATCTAACAGATGATACAATGCTGCGCAATGGCTATCTAACGCTGACGCAGTTTCACATGCCAGTCGATGTGGTAGGTCTTTGGGACTTTAGGCCTGAGATTAAGCTAGTTCACTAATACTTACCTCTCTTTGCAATTGTCAGCTCTTTGAGTATGAACGGCTTATTAAGATATTGCTGCATGGTGTGTCAAAAACGGAGCAGGAAGGTTTTGTGCAACGCATTGCCATCTATTTGCTGAACACGCTCGCCTGTCAGGTGGATGGTCGACAGAAACTATTTCTAGGCGAGCTGGGAGTGGTCAGCGTAAGGCTATATAAACCAACGATATCCATGTAGACTATATATTTATTGTTTAACCTGTTCGCAGACAATGCTGACACTCATCAAGGATCGGTTAACACGCTCAGTTTTTGATGATGTCATGGAGGTGGCGTGGTCGACCATGTGGAATGTAACCGATGAGACTGCTATTAATTGTAAGAGATTTCTAGACGGACGCGGCATGGAGTATTTCCTTAAGTGTTTAAATGTGAGCCATTAGCACCATCGAAACTCAATTCAATTTGAATGCCTATTTTTAATATGTCTTCCTATAGACCTTTCCCGATCGGGACGAGCTTTTAAGAAACATGATGGGTCTTTTGGGCAATGTGGCCGAGGTTAAATGGCTCCGCCCCAAATTGATGACACAGGAGTTCATTGAAGTGTTTGCTCGCCTGCTTGATTCATTGAGCGACGGTATCGAGGTGGGTCAGCTTGGTGGTGGAAGACTAGCCAATGACAATCCTAACCAACTGCGCTTCCAGGTCAGCTACAATGCGGCTGGAGTGCTGGCGCACATTGCATCCGATGGTCCCGATGCGTGGACTATTAAGACGCCAACACGACAACACGTCCTTGAACGCATGGTCGCTGCCATTCAGCGTTGGAACATCAAGAGTGAACGGAACATCAACTATCGCAGCTTTGAACCTATTTTGAGCCTGGTCCGCTGCTATGAGACGCCCGAATGCCAGCACTGGGCCGTCTGGGCGCTGGCCAATCTTACACAGGTGAGAGAGGGAGCAACTCTATAGAAAAGGCCTTTTGTAATCTTATAGATTAATGTTTTTCAGGTCTACCCGGATAAGTATTGCCAGCTGGTGGAGCAGGAGAATGGCATACAAATCCTCACAGAACTAATCGAGCACGAGAGCCCTTACTGTGAAATCAAGCGCATAGCTCGCCTGGTCATCGAGCAATGCGACATGGGCATGGAGCGCATGGTGGAGGGTTAGATCAGATCGAATGGACTGTCGTCTAGAATTACGAGTTCAAGTTTGTTGTACTGTTTTGTGTGTGTTTCGAGAGGCAACAGCGCAAGTGTTATATCGTTCAGATTCTTCCTCGATTTTTTATGTTTACTTAAACAAGAGAAACAAAAACTAAAAGAAAACAAAAATATTTTAAAACTAAAATATGGGAGTAATTTAGCAACGCGTGTGTAACTGAGAGTTAGATAAAATAAAAATGGAACGCTAAATATATCTATTATAATAAATATTATAGATTATATAGCTATATATCATGTTGTAAGCAAACGAGCGATTTTTTTTAAGGCCCTGTCGGAAAAATTGTAAATATTGTTAACGAAAAAAGAATGATGAAAGGAAAAGGCAAACGATGTAGCTGCATATTAAATAGAAGAACTTTAACTAATTCCATACAACGGAAGTCTTTCGTATATCTAAATATATATAAATATAAATATATATATATATATATATATATATATATATAAATATAAATATAAATATATATATTTATAAATTAGTGTTAGAATATAGCTATTGATTTGCTCGATTTGTTTTCTTTTTATTTCATTTTAGAATTACAATTAAAAATATAGTTTTAGCTGTATGCAACACCGTTTAACTTGTCCGCTTTGTGTTCAAAAATGCAAATGTTTTTCGATTGGTTCCTTTCAACAATAATATTAATAATATCCAATTTTTTTCCAGTTTTTTTTTGCATGTTTAAACTATAAATTCATATGCTTAAAAGTCTAGGATTATTAAATGTATATATGTATGTATGCATACATAAGTGTTTTATTGTACATGTACATTGTACATAAGTGTTTCATTGTACATGTTATTATAATTTTTTTTGCCTCTGCGAGGATGGTCTGAAAAGTTTTCGCGTTACTAAATTATATATATATATATATATATATATATATATTTATATATATATATATATATATATATATAAATATATATATATTTAAGTTATCCTTCCTAATTTAAATTATTTTGTTAAAATTTTATGGAGTTCCCTCTGGGATCTACAAAGGCTCTAACTGCTTTTACCAGCACAAACGTACACACACTCATCTGTATGCGTGTCAATAAAGCGAGTGTATCAATGTATGTGTGCAAATTGCAGCAGTCTGCAAATGTTTTACAGCTTGTCAATTACGTCATAGGGTGGTTCTTGGAGAGCTGAGAGAGTGTGGGTAATTGTTGTTGTTGGTGTTGGTGGGACATGAAATGCCAACGAGTTGAAAAGCGAACAAACGTGTGGCGCATGTGCAGCAAGTGCAAAGTAACCCCACATACACACACTCCCATGGGCACGGACAGAGAGAGAGAGAGATAGCCGCTCACCCACCAGCAACCCTTCGCCATATGCTGCCTGCGCTCTCTTCTGCTCTCACTCAGCCTTTACTGATGTCAGTTGCAATTTTGCCGCCCGGCCGAGTGTTAGTTTTTGTTTTGTTGTTGCGTGGCATACACTTTAAGGCGCTAATACAACCAACACGGTATTAAGATGTGATTACAAAGACAGTTTCCTCATTGTGATTCCGCCAATTTACAGTTTGTTTATTGCTTTCCCTCTTTGAAAGGACAACAATTCATAAGTTTATTGAACAACAACAACAATAGAAGACACAGAAAACAAAAGGCATAACAAAACGTACGAAACGGATTCTGCGCAGTTCGCATGGCAACGGAAGTGCTCGAAATGTGAGTAAAGCAAAGAGTGGGGAAAATAACAACAAAGTGAAAATGCAGTCGCCGTGTGTTTGTCCATTTTGCCGGCCCTCCAAGCAGAGTTCAGTTACTTCCGCTAGCGCAGATCAATAACCTTGCTAAAAGCAGTATGGGGGAGCTTCGGTTGCCATGGACAACACACAAAAGCAATAGCTGTAAACAAAATCAAAAAACAAACTGTATTCCGGGCATGAAATAGGCTAAGGTATTGAGTACCCGATTTAGCCTATGATTAAACGGAATATCATTTACTCTGGCCCATTGCAAAGCGTTTGCAGCAATTCCAAACACGACAAATTGCAGCGAAAGATGTTTGTAGGGCGAAATAAAATTTATAAAAATCTTGCACGTGGGTCTCAACCGAGGTTCGAACCGCGAACTTCAGCCGACACAACACTTACTCTCGCGATGTGACAACTCTATACGCTCAACCAAAGCGACCTCAAGCGAATTGATAGCATTTTAGTATTTCAAATAAACCAATTGCTGGAAGACTAAAAAGCTCGAGGAGAAGAAAGCTTTTACAGTGCTTTTCAATGTACAATAAATGAATGATGTAAAAAAATTCAAATTTTATTTTATTATCTGGCATTTTTTCAGTTTAATTATTTTTGTTTTTAATATACATTTTCTTGTTTTAATAAAACAAGATCAGATCTCACTTACCTGATTTGCCTAATCTACAGAAAATTCTAATCGCAATCACTGCCAAATAACAACAGAAACGAGCACCATACACACTTCGTTAATAATCCTGGAGCGCACGACGGACTCTGGCAGAGATGTGGCCCGGCTCCGAGCGAGGCAGCTCGCGAGCCTTGGAGCTGCCCACCAGCCAACAGAACGCGGGCGGTAGTAGTCAGCAGGAGACACTGGCGGACATTGAGCACATATCGACCATAGCCGGTTCATTGGCCTCCATTGGCACACTGTCGCATACACAGATGCGCTATGTGAGTATCCCGTTTCTAATTGGCACCAAACAATATAATTATGCTTATTAATTTCCTTTTCCTTCTGCAGTGCACAAATGATGCCGGCTATGATACGGAGCACACCTCGCTTAACTCCGATTTTGATGAGGCGGAGCTGCGCCGAGAGCTGCTGAGAGACGTGAGTTTGCTACTTGTTTAGTGTGCACTCAGAGAAAAAGCGGATTTTAAAGAGATGATGACAATGAGATATTATATATATGATTTTTTTACCCAATGGCTTCTTCCTGTTATTTGAGAAACCAATTTCATATATTCGGAGTCTGGGCTATTCAACCACATCTCATCTGAGCACAAGTTGCTTGACTCTTTCTCTGAGTGTATATATATATATATGTTGGTATGAAAACATATTTAAATACGATCTTTTCCACCTTTCTTCCCAACAGAAATGGAAACTTTTATTTGATATGGTAAGCAAACACTATATAATATATACTATAATATATACTATATATATATATATATATATATAATATATACTATATAATATATACTATAATATATACTATATATATATATATATATATATATATATATATATATATATATATTTAATTTGTCATCTTTCAGTTCGATCCGGAAGGCTTTGGTGAAATATCTGTTAGCGAGTTTTTGGTCGCCCTGAGATCGCCGGAGTTTGTTTCCCAAGTGCCTATGAACAAGCGTGAACTGTTGCTGGAGCGTGCGAAGAAGGCCCAACTACCCGTCGGGCCAGGCTATGTGACGTTCCAGGACTTTGTCAACGTGGTAAGTGCATCCAAATCGAATAACCAAGTGCCCCTTGCTGTTGTCATTGCTGTTCCTGTTGCTGTTACTGCTGCACGCATCTCTCTGTCTCTCGTGCCGCACGAAACAAACAACGGGATTTGAGTGCAAACACAGGTGCATGTCCCATTTTCTGCTTGTTCCGAAGTGTAGGCTCGTGTCCAAACAGCAGTTGTAGCTATAGCTAGCATTTTTGTTACACTCTCGGAAGTCTCGGAATTGCTGAGGGGTATATTGGCTGGGGAAGGCATTTCAAATGTCGATTGTAATTGTTGCTCAAGATAATTTAATTTGTTTCATATAATATATTTCATCTGGATAGTTATAGTGATTACTACTTATACCAATGCACTCTATCCATTTTTTTTTCTCTTCTAATTAGGAGTTAAATAATCCCTCAGAGGGTCAATACAGTCCTTAAGTTAGCTAATGAAGTTTCCAACTTTTGCTGCTTTACGATATGAAATATTTATATTATCTCTCACATTTATTTCTCGAGCTGCAGGAAAGAGTCTTTTTGCCTCCCCTCAAGATAAAGATGTGTAATCTTATTGCCACGCCCGTTAATATACCGCCATATTCCAAGTAACATTCCAACAGTCATTCGTCTCAAATTCGATATTCGAGAATCTGCCAACACCCTGTGTGCCTTTAGCCAGAGAATTATGCAGTCGTTGCTCTGCCGCCACTTCTCTCCTTTTTCTTTTGTTTGCACTGTGGCACATGCAAAAAGTCCATTCGCACTCGCCAAATAAATGCGGCGTCGTCCCCTGACCAGGACACGTTGTTAGGATTTGTGTTTACCTGTGGACAACAGCACAGTCCAGTTGCTCGTTGTCCCTCACCCGTCGCCAACTGGCAGTCGTTGGCTCTAGCACTGGGATTACGAGCATGCCGAAGCCAAAGCCCATGCCCCGGCCCTAAAACGAATTTGTTCCTTCCTTTTTCAAATGGATCCTGCAAAGGCTTGCAGTCTGAGTAGTTTACAATATTTCTTTTTACTGTTTGCTGTGGCCATTGACAATTCTATTGCAATTTGATTGATTCTACGCTTGATTGGCACACACAACCACACACTCACACTTACACTCACACACACATGCATAATGAATGTCAAGTGTATTTTGGTCTTCGTCTTGCTTTTCAATTGTTTGCCCAAAGAGTCCTCAAAGTCATGAATTAGCCAGGCCCATCACAAAGCCTCTATTTACCCTTGTGTGCGTGCTTGTGAGTGTGTGCATGTGTGTGTATGCGTAACGGTAATTGTCAATGGCATAGCTCATTCATCTGCCGCTTGGCCAAAACCCAACATCAGAACCACACAACAAGCCATTGCTGGCATCCGAATCGGGAATTAGCTCCTGTTAATAGACCGCAGTAGACCTACGACTATTTGTATACCCTTTTAAAGTGGCTAAGGGGCATTTGTGTTTGGCTCCTATCATCAGTGGCCTGTAAACTGGATCATTGTTATTTATTCAAGAAACTTCAAGCATCTTTAGGTAAACTTACCCAAACACCTCCCAAATAACTCTATTAATAGCTGGCCACCATTATGGGGTGCGATTCAGCTGGAGGTAGGCTTCTAGGGCTCTGTTCTATCTTTGGCATCTCTCAGATCCTGTCGTCGGCGTCCTTCTGCAAAAAGAACATCAATAGCCATCTCTTATCAGAGCTAAACGATCTTTAGCTGCCTCATAGGCAACAACTTACACAACATTTTTGTACTTAATTATAAATTTCAATGATTGGCCAGGAGGGCGGGCTCGTCGAGGGGTGTTGGACGCGAGGCGTCGAGCATGATGCGTTCGACCATATGGACGCTAGGAGCAAGTCCTTGTTTGGGACGCTGCTTGAATTAAAGCAGGAATGCCGCTACCGACCAGGCAGGAGCTGTGCCATGTGCCATGCATAATGCAAGCGAAGCCGATGGGCGATGGCCGATGGCTGATGCCGACATCGATACAATGGAGAGATTGCGATTGCTTGATGATTGCTGAATTTTTAACAAAAGCTCGCACGTGACAAATCCTTTTATGGAAGCGCAGAAGCAACAGCCGGGCATGGAGACGGCGCCGGGTGCAGCCATTCTCAGCCAAGACGAGGGGCGGCAAACGTGTTGAACGTTATGACAACTGCAGGCACGAGGCTGTCGACTGTCGACTGTTGACTGCCGGTTCTCGGCTTGCAGCTCGAAGCTCTCAGCTCTCGGCTGTCGATCGACAGTTGTGCATCTGGTCTCTCACTCACACACTCGCACACCCAGCGGGCGACGCCAGAACCAGTAAGAGCTGCAGCTGAGTCCAGGAATTTAACCGTGCAAAGCTGTTGATCCATATCGAAGCAGCGATGCTCTAACCCTCCATGCTTCTCCCTCTCTCTTTATATCTATATTTCTCTCTCTATACCTATCGCTCTCCCTTTTGACCTATCTGGCTCTATATTTCTCTACCTATCACTATGCATTTTACTCTCTCCCTACCTTTCTCTCTCTGTTTGAACTAAATCTCCGACTGAATCATGCTGATTATGGTAACGCTTCTGACTTTATGGTTCCACATATGTTTTGATCTATAGTGTGGGTTTCTCTATCCTCGAGAGTGGACTTGTAAACACGAATGTTTTCCTGGTGGTTCGGCTCGTGATTCAATCAAAAAACGCTTGGAAACATAGTTCACGCCTTTGACCGGATATTAAACCTTGAATATGTGGGAGTAATACCCTGTTGCGGACTTTGAGTGATACAGTCGATATATTATATTAAAGTCAGCCGAGCAACTGCAGTGGGACTCCTTGAACTGCTCTCGTACAGCTCATCAGGCATTTGCGGCATGATCGTGTGTATATAATGATTTGCACACTTGCCATTTAGCTGGCTATCGAAAGGTACATGGCTTTTAATTGCAGGCTGATCGGACAGCAACTGAAAAACAACAAAAAACACTGAACAGAAGCTGTAGCTGAAGGAACGCTGCGTAGAATTCTTGCATTAATCAGAAAGTCAACGGAGCTGCCAAGCATTCGATCATAAACGAAAGCAATTGGCGACGAGCTGCGAGCTGTGAGCTGTGAGCCGAGAGTGGCGAGTGGCGAGTGGCGAGTCGTGGTCGAGAGTCGCCTCCATTATCATAATCAGCGGACGCAGTGCGACGGCGCAGCTGGCAGACGCCAAATGCTGCAAGCTGGAGCCTGGCCACAGCCCGAACCTGTGCCAAGCACGCACCAAGAAATTCCAGCGGCTTGTCTTGAATGGGGAATGTCTGCAAACGGCGGAGGTGGAGACGGAGGCACTGGACGGCCACGGCCAGCTGGCGGATCGGGTTTATTGAATAAACATTTTTGCAGGCGCTCCAATGACCAGTCCCCAAGTTGCCCCAATCCCCAATACCCACTTCGGTGGCGTCTGCTCTGCAGATCTGGCAGCGTTGATAAAGAAAAAAAAAACAGCGAAGGAATCAGATCAGCTGCGTGCGTTCCTTCGTTTGTTCATATGTGTATATACATATAGATATATTTCTAGATATATGTATGTAGGTAGGTGCAAAATGCCTTGCGCCTTGGACTCTGGGGATGCGAGTCATCCAGCGCATAGATCGTCTCATGGATGCGGTATTAAATCAATGCCAATCCATAAATGGACCAGACGACGCGTCCCGGTGATGCTTGATGTTGCAGTTGGAATCTCTTTAGCGATTTCATTATTCCACAATTACATCGCAAATCGCATGAACAAAAACAACGGACACTCTAGAACGCTCAAACGGCTGCCTTTGTCCACTTTTCCAGGTAAAAAAGGTGGAACTGCAGCATGAAGGTGAGAATGTGCCTCAAGCTAGCTTCTTGCGAGTTCAATCATAATTCAGAAGTTAGCCAGAGTTCCTGCTTCCATCATAAGTATTATGATATATCATCCTGGCCATAATTGTTGTTTGTTTAACTGACCCAACTTTGAGTTGGCTTAAAGCCAATCGATTTGCGTTATCCATGGCTAAAGACCCGATGTTCGATTATATAGCAGCTATCTAGCTGTCCAACTATCTATATCCAATCATTGCAGCATACACAAAAATTGCCAAGTTGCCCAAACTGCATGTTTGGTCTTTTTCTCCATTTGCTGTTGTTGCTGCTCGTTTTGACTTGTGGCCCATGCCAAGGACGTGACAATGCCAAGGAGGCGGCGTGGGGGCTGCCTAGGATGGCTACTGTTGCTGTTGACGATGTTTGGTCAATGGTCAATTTGGCAGCAGTTTATTTTGATTGTTGTGCATCCGGGGCAAGGATAACGACGTGAACACGAATTGGCACAGCCCCAACTGCAACTGTCCCCAAACACACACCAGCACACCCACACACGAACAGAGTATTGGTTGTGCTGCTTCAATATTTTTAGCCATAGTCACGAAATGTGCTGATAACGATTCCTAAAATCCATTTTTTGGCCTGGTTTTGTGGCTCACTGATGTCCTGCGGCCAAGCACGCGCACTCTACAAATAATCGCTTATGCATTTTTGTTTTCTTCTGTGTGCTTCCTTTATGTCGAGCACGTGAACGCAGGGGCGTGGCAGCTGCAGGTGTAAATGCTTTAGTGTCTATCTTAAATCATGTTGCTGGCCACAAGGCCAGAAGCAAAACCAATTTAAATGCTCTGCTCGGGAGGTGGCAAAGTGGGGTATGTGGGCTTTGGGGCAGGCTTTCATTCTTCCACTTGGGATGGGTTTTGTAGTATTTGTATGGTCCGTGTTTGCTTTAGCAACGTGTGCGCCACTCATTAGTCACAATTGGTCCGAGTTTCAAAATCAAATTAGTTGCCGCACATTGTGCCCAACGTCTGCTGTAATTGCCACAACTAATTATGTTGAATAAATTTTTGGTGGAATGACCTACGCACCTGACATTTATGATGGCACATAAAACCAAGCTGGAATTGTTTGCCTTCACCCCAATCCGGCATTTATAGTTGCTTTTTGGCAGTGGCTGCAGAGGTCAACGAATCGACCCCGCGACGCCGACCCGCGCTTCAAGCTCAGCTGCCTCGCATAATTGTGACACACGGAAGCAAGCACAGAGCGCGCATCATTAACCTGTGTGAAGCATTGTAATAATGAGACATCAAGTGCGCGCCACTTCCTTAGGACACGCGCTGGTCATGTTTACACCTTGTTGCAACAACAGTAATAGCAGCAACAGCAGCAGCTGCTGCCAGCGCGCGCTGATTGTGCACACAAAACATGAGGCAGGGACAGGGGCAGAGGCATTAGCATTAGCATGGGCTGCATTGCCATGTGCAGTCGCTCGGAAAACTCTGTAAAGAATATATATTTTTGATTGTTAGTCAGAGGCAATCATATCCGATTACTAGCCATACACACACAGCATAAATGCACATATAGTATTTACTATAAGCATGCCAGGCAGTCCGCTTAGCTGGCCCTCGCTATTCTCCTGCTGCCGCAGTGCGTGTGTTTGGTGAAATAGATTTTGCCGCACACTGACAGAGGGTCCTCTCCATTTCCAATGAGATTTGTAGCACGGTGAAGGAAGCGTTTTTAAGTCCGTAGAGCCAACTATTTCTGCAAAGGAACAAGTTCTCATCTTACGGATTCAAGCTGATTCGATCCTTCTTAGCCATAGCTATCAGATGTAACAGTCGATCATAAAATGAAAATATAAATGTGTCTGCTCTAATGTTAGTACATTGAACTACAAATATAATCTGACTATAATCAATCAGTAAAAAACACTTTCTACATGCTAACAAAATTATTTTTAGTTTCTCCTTTCATCTTGACTCTTATCTTAGCAAGAGTATTTCTAGTTCAATTTCAAAGATATCAGTTTTTTTTCTTGTAAATTTCGATTTCCATTTTGCCAATCTTTTTGCGACGAGCTGCCAAACAAAGACGTGGAGTGGCTGACTGACTGGCTGGCTAGGGCTGGGCTGTCGGGCTGCCTTTGTGCCTTGCGTGTCATTCCATTTCCGCCAGCGTCGCAATCGCAAATCAAACAACGGCGACAGCTGCTCCTTGGCAGCGCTTTGCATATATATGCCCAGATCCTTTGCGTTTCCCTATATATACACAGGAGGGCAATCTTAATCTATATAGCTTTTGATTTGCGAATATATCGCGCGCTCGCCCCGCCCCGTTCCGTTGCGTTCAGTTCCAAGACAAAGGAATGCGGCGTCAAAGGCCAAACGTCGAAGTAGCGCAAATTACAAATGAAGTCTTGACATGCGTGTGCTATATACAAACATACTACTATGTACATATGTACAGATGTGAGCGTTTGTATAGTTGTTGCTGTTGTTGTTGTGGTTGTCGCTGTTGTTGCTTTGCACACACAGGAAACTGCTGAAAGGTGCAAACGAACTTCCGCTCCAAATCAGTTTTCGATTTGTTGTTTAGCTTCAGCTACAGCTAGAGCTACAGCTGCCCCGCTCTGTGGGTCTCTTAGCCACGCGCTGCATTTGCACAGTTGTCGCAGCTGAGCAGATGCAAAAGATGCTTGGCCTACATAAGAAGCTCATCGGTGATTGACTCGGCTAGGCTTGGCTTGGTTGGCTTGTCTTACCCAGCGCCTAATCAATCATCATCAAGCGTTCGTCCTTTTAATACGGTAGCCAAAACGACTGAAAGGCTGATTACCTAGCAAGTAGCAGACGTCGCTTTGCCTTTTGGCCCTATAATTAAGCAAACCGTAGTAGCAGCAGTAGCAGCAGCAGCAGCCAGGACTCACAGCGACAGGTCCTGTAAGGCAAATGTGACTTTAATGAGTAAAAATGTGATAATTAGTAGACGCCAAGAGGCCGACAAATACAAAGAGCACAAAAAGAAAGAGAGAAATGTTCGTAATTACAGCAAAAACCATTTATCCGGCAAATTGCTCACTGGGCGGGCGATCCTCTAACAACAACAACAGCAACATCTCAAGTTAGCTAAAGAAGATTTTACAATAATATAAATGATACAACTGCTGGCATTTTCACCTGCGGCAATCACTCTGGCTCCTGCTCCATATAAACAATGTAAATTGAATTGGTGCGTGCAAAAATATTTTGATTCAATTAAATGAGCCCTCCATTCAAGGTGCCTTCAAGTCCTGCCCACTGCGACTAGCCAACAACAATAAATACCGAAATGTTTGTGCATCAATTAACAGCGAATTAGCATAGAAAACAGGATAGAGTTAAAGCTTGAGGTCTCCTATTAAAAGGCAGATTATAAGGATTTAAGATGGGATGATTAGTGGAGCTCTTCTTCCTCCTCTTTATATACATACATTTATAGATTGTTGGACTCCGATCCGACCACACGTTAATGGAAATATTGCTTAACTGCTTGGAATAAAAATGTCAACAGACACTGAATGAGGGCGCACATAAAATGCATAATGGAGTGCACAGCCAGCGAAGATGTCCTTTTTTGCGCATAGCTCAGGGCTTAACAAAAAAAAAAAAAAAAAAAAACCGACACACATACATGCAAGCAGGCAGGCTGGCAGGCGCTGCAACAACGTAATTCAAAGGAATTTTTTCGTAGGTGTTCCACCATCAAGAGAAGCCGCCAACGCCCTGCTGCAGGCCCTTCTATAGCCCTGTTGACCATGTCCTGAGCATTGCGTTCTGCGATCCTTGTTGGGGAGGGGCGGGGCAATGTGTGTGTTAAATGTTTGCGTCAATTTGTCGCTTTATGTTTGTGACCTACAAAAAATGTGAATGAGGCATAAATAGAAATATGCTGTATAACTGTTAAATGCCAGTGGTTTAGTGAGGGTATCCAGCGTTTACCTGGTGTGGCAGCGCTGTGACGTCATGCAGTGCTTGGCCGCTGGGTAATGTCATTATCAGGCTCAGCCGCAAAGGGACGACAGGACGAGGGCAGTCAGGGCTGTGTCCAGGGCTCGACTGTAATTCGCACACCCCGTTGTGCATGTCACAAAACAAATGATAAACATTTTATTTGTTGGAAATTGTTACGGCTTTGGAAATAGGCCTTATTTCTAGTTGCCGCCTCATCTCGTTTGATCTCTCTGTTGTGTTGTGTGTTTTTAGCCAAACCAGATTTATCACAGTTTCACAATGCATTTGGGTGTTCCATTGTCCCATTGTCAACAGTTAACAATTTAATACGTAGAAACGACAAATCGGAAGTAAAATTGCCCTATTGGATTATTTTCTTTTTTTAATTTAAGGAAGTGCTCATAAAGAGTGAAGAGATAATGCGAATGCAACTCTGGGTGGCGGGCGAGTGGGCAACGCTGACAAGTAAGAAATCAAAGCAAAGATCGAAATATTAAGCGCAGCGCGGCGACGAACGACGTTGTTGTTTAATTAAGTATATACATAAATAAATGTATATAGTATATATAAATTGAATGTTTTATGTACACTCGTGTAAATTGTGGCTTAAGTGCAATATTAAGCATTATGTTAGCAAGCTGTGAGAGTAGTTGAGCTGGGAATTGTGTCAGTGTCGCAAAACTTAAAGCGCGCCAAGTTATAAATTTATTGCGTAAGTAGGCTGAACAAAATAAATGTAAATTAAAGTAATGCAGTTGCATTAGTTGAATAATTGTGTTTTCCCATTTGACACGAGTCTTCAATGGGAAAAGTATGCCGTTATAATTGTGATTATACACATTCATAATGCATTCATAAGCTCCTATATATGTGTGTGTGTCCGACGTTGCCACCTTGCTGAGTGTGTAGGTGTATAAGAGAGAAGGAGTGTACAATTGTTAGTTAATGGGAACCGCAGGCGATTCGTCAATTAAAATAAATTTGATAATTACTAATATTAGGCTGTCGCGGAGCTAACTAGCAGCAAACACTTGTTACCTCCCACGACCCCCACAGCTTTGACCACAACAACCATGTTTGCGGTTACGAGCGGAAGTGACTATTTTATTTGGCTTCCCTTTTGCCCATTTGGCTGACAAGCTTAATTTGTGGATTGTGTTTGCTTTGCTTGCATACCCTGCAGCCGGCTTATTGGAGAAGTGAGGTAGTATGTGTTCTGTAGATGGTTTGTAAAAGGTGATTATAATTTGTTTATTCGTTCACTGTATTTGATACATAAGTATTTACTATTCTGATATTTATTTTATTATATTTTTTGAACGATATGTGCTAGTCGAGCTAGTTCTTACTTTTACGTTTCATAATCGTGAATTTTAATTGCGCGTAGGCTTCATTTGGATTTTCTTGTCTGTGTCTCCGTTTTAATTAAACACAATACACATTTTCCGCCTTTGCAGATTTTCGTGTTGTGTTTTTTCCAGTTTCTGCTTCTGTTTTCTTGCTGTTAGTTTTTATGTGCGCCTTAATTGCTCCGCCCCGTTCGCATCTTTTGTGAACATCTTAATTACATAATAAAAATTATTTCGCTTTTGCAATTCCACTCAGTCCCTAACTCTAGTTTGGACTTGTTTTCATAATTTTATGGCTCGTTTAGTTTTGGGGTTAAAATGAATTATTTTTCTTGCTGATTTTAGCCAGCAGATATGATCCAATTGGAACGTGAAGAAATCTAGTGCTTTTACCCTGGCATCTATTTATCTTATGCGATTGCTCAGACTCTGACTCTGATTGAAAGCTAACCTTCATATTGTGCTAATTTTTACCTTGGCTAACGGTTCGGGTCAACAAATTAGTTGTTTTCCTGTTGAATTAATATTTATTGTGATATACATATTGTTCGTTTGGACCGTAAAGAAATATTCTGATTTGACCTCACTGCATTATGTCTTATACGAAAAAGCTCTCGCTTCTTAGTTTTTAAAACTCGCCTTCAAATGACATGTTGCAATTGTCTTCGAGGGAAACTTGTTTATATTATTCTCTCTAATATATGTATGTATTTATCTCTGATTATCTGTTTCCAGATGAGCGGCAAGCGTTCGCGCAGCTTCAAATGTGCGGTTCATCATCGTGATCGTGAGGTTTGCTCTGAGAACGACTTTCAGCTGGTGGTAAGTGAGCCGCCGCTCTTTAGGAAGATGGTCCATGCGGTGGCTATGGAGGTGCTGCCGGAGGAGCGCGATCGTAAATATTATGCAGATCGCTACACATGCTGTCCGCCGCCCTTTTTCATTATATTGATCACAATCGTAGAGGTGGGTTGACTTGATTCTCCTATTTGAATCGCAATTGAAGCGGAGTGAATATTATAATTGATTTATAGCTGGGCTTCTTTGTGTATCACACCTCGGCCACGGGAGAGGCGGCGCCAACGGGTCCCATACCCAGCGATTCCATGTTCATTTATCGTCCCGATAAGCGACACGAGATCTGGCGCTTTATTCTATATATGGTGCTGCATGCTGGCTGGTTCCATTTGGGATTCAACGTGGCCGTTCAGCTGCTCTTCGGCTTGCCCCTGGAGATGGTGCATGGATCGACGCGCATCGCCTGCATCTATTTCTCAGGCGTGCTGGCTGGCTCGCTGGGCACCAGCATCTTTGATCCCGAGGTGTTTCTCGTTGGCGCCAGTGGCGGCGTTTATGCACTGCTGGCGGCGCATCTGGCCAATGTGCTCCTTAACTACCATCAGATGCGTTACGGCGTACTACGTTTGGCGTTTATACTGATTTTCGGTAGGGACAGCGAAGATTTTTCTGCCATGATTTCTTGTAACATTTGTTCTTGCAGCCTCCTTCGACTTTGGCTTTGCCATTTATGCTCGCTATGCTGGCGAGGACCTGCCGCCTGGGCAGCTGGCCGCCAGTCCAGCGGCTGTCTCCTACGTGGCCCATTTGGCTGGTGCAGTGGCAGGCTTGACCATCGGATTGCTTGTGCTGAAGAACTTTGAGCAGAAGCTGCACGAGCAACTGCTCTGGTGGATCGCATTGGGGACCTACACAGCGCTCGTTGTGTTCGCTGTCGCCTTCAATGTGCTAAATGGAGTCACTTTGTTTAATATGCGCGTGGAGAAGATTAGGTTCACCCAAACCTACTTTAATGACTTCCAGGTGTAACTGGAAATCGAGTTCAAAATCGATTTTTGTTGAAAATTTTTGTTATTTCGTTTATCTGTTTTCTAACTGGACAGTGAATAAGTTTATAGTTTATACATTCTGTTTTTTTTCGCGATTTTCTATCTTTTTGTAAGTTTATTTACTGCGTGCAATATACGTACAGACATTCCGACATATATGTATTTGTATAGCATATAATATATATAGACAATCGTCCATACGTTATCAAACGCAATTCGTTCCACTTTTCGATGCTTACGTTTGAAAGTACAAATGTTTGAAAAGAATCGATGCGAAAATATCGTTAATTGAAGTCGATGAGATGAAAGTGTATATTTACAACAAATTGGAACTGATTAGATTTGTAAACTGCTAAAAACATGATGCTCAAGGAAAATATGATCTTTTTTTATAAACTTAAGCAGAATCGAAATGGATATTCAAGTTGAATACAATAATGTAATCTATAAGGAGAATTATGTATAAGTGCTATATTGAAAACGATGTATTCCAACATTTTTCCAGAACTGTCCCACTGCAGGCCTTACATACATATATACAATGAACGACTTTATTCTCAGACTACCTCAACAATTGGTAAAAATTATAAAAAGCTAAGATGTGTAATCGGTTTCAAAATTTATATATGTATAATAAATATTCAAACTGCCCTTAGACAAAATGAACGAACAAAAATGATAACTGCCAGCTTTAGTGAATAAAAACAGCACCAACTACACTATTTATAATGTATTTTGTACGTTTTGTACATAATTAAAAAAAAATAAAAATAATACAATGACCGAAATAAAACTCTTATATTGCGTATTCTGTTTTGGCGCAGATGAAAGGCGATGTGCGATCTGAGCTCAAGTTGTGTTATACATGCTTTTTGAAGTCTGGCCACACTGCTTGTTTTTATGACAAATGAAGCGCTTACGTACATAGTTGAACGAGGGTATTTAATTGTGAAATCAGTAATACATATTACTAAAGATGAATTTTTAGCTCAATAAAAGTAAATTAGTGATAGTGATTTTTGTACTTATATGCTCATACTATATAGAGAAAAATTGATATTTTTCTGATCAAATGTCTTATTGCGCATTCTCTTTTAACTTCAAAATTCTGGGGTAGCGTTGCCAGTTAGGCTTAAACCTTACTGAATTCCCTTTTCGGTGGCCTCAGACTGTTTCCAGTGACGTCATAAACCAGAGTGAGCAGCTTTGCGTTAAAAGTGAATTTTAATTCGAAAATGCAGTAAAAGCAAAGTCACAATGCCAACAGGATAGATGTCGGAGGTAAGTCGTAATATTTGATATTGTTGGATGTTATCTAGGTATAAATAGTTCCGTACATATGTCATTTGCAAGACACGCAAAGTTTGGAAAATTTCATAGTGCGATAAAAAGAACTTAACATGTATCCATCCTTCCATCCATCCATCTGTATCAGAAGTTTTGTTTGCCTTTTCTTTGCTTTGCGAGTGAAATGCGAAAAACTGTAGAATTTTCATGACAGTTTCGTGCACGCACCTGCTACAAGGCTACCTGTCAGCTGCCACCTGCTACGCCCCCTCCTCCTTCTCCTCCACCCAACTGCTGTCAACAAAGCGTTGCAGCTTGGCTTTTTGCTGAAACTCTTTTTTGTTGTTTTTTATTCTGCTCTCGTCTTTTTTATGGTTGTGACGGCAACGTCTCACTCACAGCTGCCCCCAACTCCGAGCGCGAACCAGTTCCCATTGACATGCTCCTTCTGCAGTTAACAAATCCCGGCGGACACGAATTTATGTTTGTTTGAGCATATTTCACCGTTAGTCATTCGTCACACACAAAAACAGCAGCAACAACAAAAATATATAAAGGCGCAGTCCAATGCGAATGGCCAAAATGATATAAGCAAATAAACTGTCCTAGAAACAGGGCGACAAAAAGAACTGGCTGACTCTCGCTACTTGGACAAAGGATTCAATTGTCGTTGATTAATGTTGGGCGCGTTAATTTGTTGATGTACGCGCCCTGGTTTCCAACGATTATAAATGACGTCAAATAGATTTACAAATCCGTTGGGGACACACTACAAAAATAAATTTTTATTCAGACGTTGGTTCCAAGTTTAGTATTATTTTAATAACGATTCTACGAGTCTAACCAGAAAGGCTGTGAGCAGCAGGAGCTGGATCATATGAACGGAGACGCAGATATTAAACTTGAAGCGCTGAACCAGCAAATAAATCATTTAATATAAGGAGAAGAGTTAGGAATTTAATGGTGAAGCTAGCAGCTAGATCAAATGA